AGTAAAGTTGCAAAAGTCTGGAATCAAGGCTGGTGGTAGAGGTGATACCTTTTATTAGACTAACAAGATTTTTGCAAAAAAAATCTTTAATTGCAAGCTTTTGGGCACAAACACCCTTTATTAGGCATCAGAGAAAAGATTGTAAAAGTTCTCTTGGGGAGAAATGAAAGTTCATATTCCATAGCATTTCACAGAGGGGTCAATAAATGAAAAAACTCCACTGGGCAGGCAGTTCTTAGCTGGTAAGGAGTCTCTTAGCCCTCCTGTGAGGCTCTGTGATGATGCAAATTACCTTAGACAAAGGCAGGAGCAGGATCTCAGGTTTCTGGTGGTCAAATAAGGCTACAACCTGCATACCTGACAAAGGTCTAAAAGAACTTGTGGACCTGTTCCCCACCCAGGGGAAGTGAGTCATAGGGAAATTAAGTTAACTGTGTTCAAACAACAGTTGGTGACAGTGAAAGGGTGAATGAACAGGTACCTGTTAGCTCGACTGTTATATTATTTACTCTGCTGGAAGGTTGACAAATCTACTTCTACATTTTTGAGTGAATTATTCTAACAATAGACCCATCAGTCTATGAAGTAAAATATAATACAATTGAAAATATCGTTTACAGCTACAGTTTTGCTAAATAAAACTTCTTGCATGAGTTATTACAGACATGTGAAGTGAATATTGTATACAGGTAGTCCTCGACTTACAACGTTTCAAGTTACAACAGCTCCCATTTATAACATTTATAAATTGACACACTGTTTCAACTTTCTGACGTCAGTTTTGACTTTACAATGCTTGATCCGATGTGATGCCACGTCAGTGAACAAGTTCGCTGCGTCGCTCATCTCCCTGGAGAACGTCTGTCCAAACTTCCTTGCACATTTTCTTTAAGAAAGCAGACAAGACTCCAGGAAAACCTGCAGCCAAGACTCCTGAGAAGACTCCAGCCAAGAACCCTTCAAAAAGTCCAGTAACAAGCCTTTCAAAAAGTCCAGCAAAGTCACCTCAAAGAAGTCCTTCCAAATCAATATGATTGCTATTTACATTAATGTAGCTATATTACTCATCTATAATTGATCGAGTACAAAATTCTGGGGTATTTTTGGTGAAAATAGATTATCAGGCCTTGGTTCAGGAATCAGTCCTCGATTTATAACATTGTTTCTTATGAAAAAATTGGTTCCAAGTTACATTTCGACTTAAGATGTGGTTTTCAGGACCCAATTGTGTCATAAGTCCAAGGACTGCCTATACTTCAATAAGTTAAACTCATGGATACATTAATTGATTTGGCAAATGTCACTGTAGAAAATTTAAAGATTTTTTCCCCGTTATTGCATGTTATTTTGGATTTTTTTATTTTCATAGAGAAAGATACATAGAATTATATTAAATTTCTCCAAATATTTACCTACTTTTTTTGTTCTGAAAAAAAATGACAAGAGATGCTATTGTTTTGATAAGCTTGCAATCATTTTGGAATGTGTGAGGTAACAAAATTTTCACAACTGTTTTACAGATTTTATTAAGCATTTTTTAAATTAAATTTCCCTTATTTACTTCCTAAAATTGCACAGCTATTGGTAAGAAGGCTTTGCCAAAAATTTTTATAAAAAATAAAATATAATTATTGTTTTAGAATGTAAATACCTATACATTTCAAATAATAGAAGTGCCTGAATATCATTTCAGGAAAAAAAAATACATGTAATGCACTTTGTCATATACATATGCCCAGTTTCAACAAGTTTAGTTTTATGGCAGAATAATAAGCCATAGAAAAAGGAATTTATAGTGGAAATGTTAGCTGATTTATGTAAAGTTTTTTAAATCTTGTTACTATATTAAGAATAAATTGAAAAGCCAAAAAGCTTTTTGTAGAAAATGATCCACATACAAGATTCCTGGAGGGGTTTTTGTCAGAGCCACTTTTTTAGCAGAGCCACTTTTTATTGTCTAGAATACTAGATCTTTACTGGTTACATGTTCTTTTTACATATTACGCCCAGGGATAGATATGAAAATAGAATGTAATGTTAACTACAACCTGTATTTTGATACATTTCGTGTTGTGTTCTCACTTTTTACTCATTATAATTTGTGAAAGACTGCAATTTAGCTTGCCTTGAAGCACTGTATGTCTATGTGAGTCTTTTTGGCCTTTTGTTCTCTGTTTGTTTGCAAGCTCTCTGAATTGCAGTGCTGATCACTTGTATGCTGAGCTGCGTGCTGGCAGTTAGAAATGCTTTGAATTAAATCCTAGGAATTTAGACTGGTTCCCAGCGAACAAAGATACAAATAGCATGGAAATTACAGACCAGTAATTATGGCTTTGCACCCTTCACTCCCAAACAGATAATGTGTTCGTGAAGAGACTTGCAACAGCCCGTTGGCATAAAGTTATGGTGGTGTTTAAGATAAACAATAATATGTGGCAAGTTATTATGTAAAATAACACAGGCAATGTATATAAATACATTGAATTAATTAAAATCTTAATAGTGGATAGCTAGTGTATGTTACCTGTGGGTGATTACTGGACTATGAAATGTCATAATGGGGGAAAGGTGGCAAAAATTACTCATGAGTCAACATTCAGCAATACAAGTAAAATGAGATTAACACATTAAACAAGAGTTTATTTAGTCCTTTTTGTATGGCATTACAAGTAGAACATTTCACAGTACATTGAGAATCTATATCCTAATTACCCTAGTGAGTTAATGTTTATCTTGCCTTTGTTGTGCACTGATAGGTCTTATTAAAATTTATGTGAGTTGTGTGTTTTTGCTGACAGCAAACTAAACTTGAGTGATGTGCTATTAGCTTTGAAGTTAAAAATCCTTTGTTATATTGGTAATAAGTTGCTTGGTATTGTAAGTGGATTACATGCAGACATATTTCAGTATATAGGTTATTCACAAATGATTTTCTTTGATTATTCACCATCTGTTTTTGTATGATGGACTGGATTTGCCCCCCAGGTGCATGGCTACAACATTAATAAACAGTAGGAGTAAATTAAAATATTTCAAAAGGCTGTTCAGAAGCTTCTAGGATGCAATTCTGGTCTCAGTGAAGTCAAAGATAAACTTCTGCTGACCTAAATGGAGTCATAATTTCACCTTTGTGGATAACTTTTTTGTGAACACACCTACTCACAGGAGTATCATTTCCTATTAACATTCTTATGACCAAAAAGTCACTCAACACAATGTTCACATAAAATGAAAGTTTAACTGATGTTATTTAAATACATCTGTAGATGGATACTTCTGAAATTACTTTGTCTAGCTGTAATGCATACATATCCTTCAGCAGAAAAGGAGATATTTTGTGGCTGGGACACAAAAGCTTCCCATAAGTAGTGAAAGCTGTAGCAATGCCCTCAGAGCCACCAATTCAAATTTTTGAAGGAGTGAATTAAATCAAAGAAAGAGTATCTCACAATTTGCTCTGTGAAAAAGGGGGTTAGAACTTTTCCACCAAAATTAAGTTTTCATAAATCTTCACACTTCCCCCTAGTTCCATTTTCCAGCCTGTTTTGGTTGCAACCTTAAAACAGAGGTCCTGTTTGTTTTCTGTTGCTACTGAAATTTGTATGGCATTTCCCCTAAAAAATATTGGAGAGAGTTACTTTTAGCTATAACAGTGTGATAAAAAATAACATATTTATTCATAAACTGCACGCACCTGTCCCTTAAAAATAAGCCCCCAAAATTGGGTTGTATATTTTAGGTGGGGAAGCTGATTTTCTGCCTGAAATAGAAACACTCTGCTTTTATTCCTTCTCCACCAAGCAGCAGCAATGACATTTCTAGTCAGGCAGCTACAGGAGTCAGTTTACTTCATGGCTCATTGTTCTTCACTCCATAGGTGTTAATGACGGTCTCTCCTTTTTAATGTTCTTGATGTTCCATTAATCAACCTAACCTTTCTTCTGGCAATTTTGCTGTCTACTCACTATTCCTCATCTCTCTTCTCCTATTTCACAGCCCTGTAAACTATTTTAGCTCTTTTCAGAATCAGTCTTCAGCAGCAACTAAAGTTATAGCTTTTGTTTGACCAGGAAAGGGAGGATGAATGAGCCAGTGATTAAGCTCTGTCCCTAATTCTAGAAATAAATCTTTTTTTTCTGTGTTCTGTCTTCTCAAAAACAAGATGCATGTCATATTTAGGAGCATGTGGCAGGTGAGAAAATATGATAACTGAATCAATTCAGAAATGGACCAGGCTGCCCTTGTAGGTGGCTTGTTAAACAATCAGTTTAATGTGCAGCTTACAGTCAGAAAAGTAAATCACATCTTAGGTTGTATAATGAATGGTATGGTTAATAATATAGAAATATTTTAATTCATTTACTTAAATTGAATGGTGCCTCATCTGTTGGGATGTTGTAGGCTGTACTGGTCACCCTGTTCAGACTAAGAACATAACAGATTTTTAGAAGTATGAAAACTTGTAATCGCTTCTCATTGAACTTGGAATGTGTGCTCCTTATTTTTTAAAATGGAAAATTCTAATTTGGACTTCATTCTCTTAGCTCTTAAGAAGTCCTAAATAAAACCTTGAGATAAGGATCCCAATTTTGCAAGGTTCATCTGAATCAAAACTTTTTATATTAAGAACTTGATGACTAAATAACTTCTCGTGTTTTGAGCCAAGTCCCAGAATTATTAGTCATTTTTTCCTTTTACTCCATCCTTACTCAGGCAGTCTCTATAAAGGAACTTCCATTTGTCCTGAAATTGTTGAGCAGTCTAATATTAAAAACACTTGTATGTGATTAGACCATGCATAAATATTTTTAAATCTAAATTGAAATTGTCTTCTATGAATCAGAAAAGTTAGGTGAAGTTACAGATATTAATGTAATGTATGACATGCAGTTTCCTTTTTTGTTCTATGCATGACAATTACTCATTTTTAGTACTTCCCTTGATTTTTAATTGAAGATATTTGCTTTTGTTAATTTAATCTACCTTTGTTTTTCCTACAGGGTGATATCCAGCAGCTATTGATTATAGCTGATCCCAGAGCTGCATATGACTATTGTGAGCATTATAGCCCAGACTGTGATTCCCCTGTGCCCAATGCTGCTCAAGCTCAAGATCCTCAAGTTGATGAGGTGAGTATTCAGTCATGTATTACTACATTTATTGCACATTAGTGGTTGTGCTGGATACGGAGTACCAGGGGGGCATTTAATTACAGTTAAATGGTGTACATTGTTCTAGACACACAGAAGGTAAGAAAAGATGAAGTTGCGGGTATGCATTCTCTTCTCCTACTTACCCATCTTTCTCAGACATTTCTAAGACGCTTATCAATACGGTATTTAAGCACCAGCATATTCAACAGAAGTTAAATTGCTTTTGTTACAATATGCAGCATTTTAAAGTTTTTATAAATATGTTTAGACATTTGAACACTAAATCTTTTCTTACTTGATGGAGCCTCTTTGCTGCTGCTTATCCATTTATGACTTGATTTTTCAAAAGGAAGAATATCCTTTTCTGCCACAGAATCGCACTGTCTCTGAGTGCTCAGCACTTTTAAAGTCTGACCATCAGTTCAAAAGGAATATAGTCAATTGCTAATGTGTGGATTCATGCATGCTTGTATCTTTGGGTAAATCTTTGGGTAAATCTAATATCTTTTATTATTTGAGTTGGTCTAATAAAAGATATCATATTTACCAAAAGAACCTTGTCTACCTATGTCCTTAGACCAACATAGTTATGACCTATGCCCCTGAAACATGGAAGATATCAGATTTTGCCATTTTAAATGGAAATTACGCAATATTTGAGTTAGCTTAATTAAAAATATCAGATTTATCCAAAGAACCTTGTCTGCATGCCTGTATGCATATATGACAAAATAGGAAACATTCTGTAAAACTCAATTTTTACTTGTCACCAAGTTTTGCTAAACATAGCTTTTGACAAGATTAAAGCACACTGGGACTTTTTTTCTAGAGGAACTATACATTTTTATATTCAAAGAAACAAGTAGTCACCCATGGGGCAGCCTCACTGATATAACTTAGTGAATTTTCTCTAAGTTTAAATTTGTCACTGATTTATACCAGCTTAGTATCTGGAGTGGTATGTACTGTTACATACCTTATGGATATCTGTCTCAGAATTTGTCAAGTAATCTCTCCATTCTCACAGCAAATTGCAGAGACAAGCAGTTCTTCTTTGAAACAAATATTGTAGTGGATAATGAAATTAGGAGTCCAAAGAGAAAAATAAGTTGTTACCTCTGATGATACCATCAGGACTGAAAAATGTACATATGCTATGTTATTAAGAGATGTATATACATTTAATTCAACTCACCTGTGTCTAGTCAGGGTGCACTCAATATATGATTAGATTTAATATTTTATACCACTAAGGAGGTAAAGGTTAAAAGTATTCTGAGTCCTCATATGGTTGTTTTCAGGCAGTCACGAATTAGGAAGTTTATCATACATGTAATAAGCTCAGTTCATTTTATTAACAATAATAGTAATTACATTGGAAGGTAAACATCTCCTATGTTCCTTGAAGGCAACGTGGTTTCTTTCTAGGGGATGGAAGACCTCAAATAGCAAAAAAAATTAAAATATTCCCCCCTTCCCATCTAAATGATAAAGAAATATAAATATCAGCTCAGCACTTTCTAAGTATTCCTGCTAGTTGGCTAATATAAGTCTTTGTCAATTATCCTGCAATTAGCTATAAATATGTTCAGAAATATTAGAAATGTTACAGAAACTATGTACAGGTTTTAACTCTACTCCTTTAATATATGAAGAATTAAAAAAATTTTTTTTGAAATAATGAAGTCAATTTGAACAAATTCTCTCAGTCATTTTCTGATCCAAGCAATGAGACCATGCATTCAGGACAGATGGTTTCTGGGAGAGGTGTTGTGTAAATTCTGAGATTAAATTGTATGATGCTCGTATGAAAAAAAAGCAATTGAGAGGACAAACAACCTGCTTTCATATTCCCTCAGAATGTGTCCTTCAGCTTCCAAAACCAGATTCTCTTTGGCATTTGGAATTGGTTTTTAAACATTTGCCAGATAAGTATAATACTACTCCTTTCTCTGTGCTGAGCATTAACCTGTTCCTGAGAAGCATGAACTGTAGGAGTTGAGATGACAGGGTGCTCTTTTACAAGACAACCTTCTCATAAGTGAACCTCATCCCTGCATCCTTCAGAGACAGATGTAGATATGTGATTTGGAAAGGTTGCACATCCTGCCTGCTGCTGCTGCTGCTGCTGCCACTGCCTGTGGGGTCTGTGCATCCTGGAAGGAGTGTAGGGGGGAGGGTCCCATCAGCCCCCCACCCTCCCTCACAGCCTACAAATGCCACACACACATCCTGCCACTACAACCCCCAACATATATATCCCCCAACATACACTCCCACCCCCAACCCACACAC